AAATCACTCCATAACTCCTCCATCATATCATTCCTTCCATAATTCCCCAACTTCCCTTCCATTCTAAATACAACCCATCCCATAATCTAACAAAAAGGGTCCGGTGTTTGGTCAGTAACGAAGAGGTGACTCCTTGGTCTTGCTAAGCTTAGTATCATCACGCAATCACCCCACTCCTTGTTGCTTGTAAGGTAATAGACTTTCCACTCACTTTGAATTTCGGTTCATAGATTGACTATAGAAAGTCAGGAGTTGGGTCTTGACCTTGGGTAACTGTTCGATGAAATTGCATGATAAAATTGGAAGTTACAATACCCTTGGAACGAAAGATAGTGATTGTTGCCTTGTTGTATGTGATTATACGTCTACATGTAAGTTTCGACTTAGGGTTCTAAATGTTTGTCTTAAATACTTGTTCAAATGATTAATCGAAATCCTTAAAATGACAAACTAGCATGTTTCAATGTTGAAATACATAGTTAGACTAGGATATTGTTGAAAATGGGCTAAGATATGGACTTGCAAATAACGATTGGCTGAAACCTGGCACAGATGTCATCCACGATACTCCGTCTACGGACCGTAGATCAATCTACGAACCATAGATTGGGTTCGTGGGTTAATGCACTTGAAAATCTCACCAAATGTGAAACCACGGAGGTGGACTACGGTCCGTAGTTCCATCTACGGACCGTTCTGCACTTCCGTGGTTTCCATCTGCGACCTATATGTCAGGGCCCCTGATCCACGGAAGAGATCCACGGACCGTAGATCAGTCTACGGACCGTGGGTCTCCCCCGTGGATGACAACTGTAGCATCTGTCTGAAGATTTTTGGGATTTTATTGCTGATCGTTTATAGTCTTTCTACTTTGTCTTAGTATAGTTTTGGCTAGTCGTGGGCTCTAATATCACTCCCGCAGGTACAATGGCACCCAAGAAGATGGTCACCTACTCAAAAAGGGGCAAGTCAAAATCTGTTGCCCCTAGTTTCCGGTTAATTGATGAGGACACAGATGCCGACACTGATCCAACTTATGTGCCTCTCAACCCTAAGACTTCTCGCGCTACACCCAGAGGCACTCCCCGGAAGGTGCTTCCCAACGTAGTCACTGTCTCCCAGTCTGATGAGGAGCACACACTGATCGGGTCACCAACTGGGGCTGCTTCCAGTTCAGAGGGGTCTATGTCCGGACCTGAGTCCGACCATGCTTCAGGCTCCGAATCTGCCCATCCTTCAGGATCTGAGCATGACCATGCTACAGGGTCCAGTGCTAAATCATCCACAGCATCTGGTGAGAATGACCAAGCAGCCTCGTC